GGTTTTAGGAGGTTTTAAAATAAGCAGAAAACATCAATGCTTAGAATATGATCCCATAGGACTGAGATATATTGACTGAAAAGTCTAGTTTTAGGACTGAAAAAAAGATGAAATATGTGCCTCTCTGGAATGATATTAAAAAGGACTTACTAAGACGGTATAAACTGCATTTATCATTATTGGGTAGAATTACTGTAATTAAGATGAATATCTTATCAAGATGCTCTTTTTGTTTCAGACATTACCAATACTTGCAACTGATATTCCATTTAAACAATGGCAGAATGATATACGTTAATACGGCAAGGGAAAAAACCAAGAATTGGATATAAAGTAGTACAAGATGCTAAGAGGGGGTTCGGGTTTATCAGATTTGAAATCATATTTTGATACCTGTTATTTGGCCTGGCTAAAAGAGTGGGTGAACCTCCAAAACAAGAGGCTATTTGATTTAAAGGGCCAGGAATTAAGATTTTGATGGCACAATCATTTATGGTATGATAAGGTTAAAGTAAATGCTGATATTTAATAACCACTTTGTTAGATGTGCCATTCTAAGAGTCTGGAATAAATGTAAAAAAAAGGTTTTCTACCAAGATGCCTCTTTGGATGTTCCCTCACGGAAGCTTTTTTCAGAAAAGAAATGATGGTGAAATCCGACTGGTGGACCTATGGTAAAATAATATCATTTAATCCTCAAGCCTACAGAAGAGCTAGAATCAGGAGGAGACATGTCTGCCATTGGTTTACATATTTACAACTGAGAAAAAGATTTAAATTAGACAAAAAGAGTCAGGGTCTGACCTTATTAAAAATGAATTGGAAGTCCTCCTGTGTGGTAGTCAGAGGTGGTATTCAGCAGGTTCTGACCAGTTCTGGAGAACCGGTAGTGGAAATTTTGAGTAGATCAGAGAATCTCTGACTGGAGATATTACAGTAGCCTTCCCTTCCACGCCCACCAAGCCATGCCCACACAACCAGTAGTAAAAACAAAACTGAATCTCACCACTGGTGGTAGTGATGAACATATTATTGCTAAGGTTTATAAAATACTATTCAATTTGAATTTGGAAAATGTATATGCATTGTGTGATTCAGCAGGCAAGGGACATTGGATATAATGTAAAGCTTGAACAATGAGAGGATATGTGGATGAAAGGTTTAAACTTTGCACTAATTTACGGTTTAAAAGAAAACTTTTATAAAATGGTGTATTGTTGGTATTTAACACCAGATAAGTTATCAATCTATAAAGGTACTTCAAATGAATGTTGGAAATGCAAATGTAAAGAAGGGATTTGTTTTTAATCATTTGTCATGGACATGTGATAAAGCAAAGAAATATTGGAGAAGGATTCATATGCTGATACAGAAGATTCTTAAAGTGACTATTAAGATAAAACCAGAATGTTTTCCTTTTGTTTTAATGGAAAATAATGGAACTTTGATGTTATGTAATGTTGACAACAAAATTTAAACTGGAAGGACGCTTCGATTCCCACAATGGACGAATGGCTGCAAAAGACTTTTGGCACAAGTTGCCTCATTCCCAGGGCAAAAACAAAAGGGAACACGAAAGCCTGGGTGAGAATGTGATGGTCCTGGAAGCTCCTTTTATTTCATATGGGAAAGAAGAAAATCTGCTCAATCAGACATGGCTGAGACAGAGATGTTGTAGCTATGGATGCAGCTCCAGATGCCAGTTGAGCAACCACATGCTACTTTAAGATACCTGATAGGTTTGGGGATATTCAAAAGGTGCAATCTGTAGTAGTAGCAGCAGCAGCACCACCATTATCTTAAACAGGTGGTAAGAGAAAGTGGGCTTGCTCTATCAACACATCAAGGAGGACTGGAAGCATCTGGGTAATTTTGATGTATTTTATCCTTAAAAGTCACAGCTCTTATCAAAGGCCTGGGGTGATTGTTCGGGCACTGTGCTCAAAAATTGAAGCAGCGAGACAAATCAGAATTTACACAGGATATGGTTAATCTTGAGGGATCAGCCAAATCTTGGGGTGGTGGGGGTGGGGTGTCTAACTTCACTTCTCTACCAGCTCTAGTCTTTAATGTTTCCACCCTGAATGTGGATGGCAACAGTAACACATCTAATATTGCTGGAGATGAATGTTTGACAGGCTGCCCCTCAAAGAACCACTAAGTGATTATCCCATCACCACTTTCTCTCCACTTGCTGGCAGCCTTTGACTTGTCAGAATTCAACGAGAAGCCATTTCTTTTATTCAACTGCTATTTCCAGAACTCAGTATCCAGTGACTGATGCACTCTTGCCACATGGTGGAGCTTTGTAAGTGTGCTTCCCCTTGGTGGATTAACTCAGTCTCCCTATATGGGAAGCCACAGAAAGTGAAAGAGCGACTGAGGCCCAAATGTTAAAAAATAAAAATTCTTCCTCTGCCCAATAGTGGAAACATTTTCTTTTAAAAAAAGGACGATCTGAATGGATGCAAACGCAGGTATTAAAAACAACAAAACTTCGCAGCAATATGATTTTAAGCAAATCCGCGTGTGGGGACCGCAACTTTACTGGAATGGCTTTTAAAGCTGCCAAGGCGTACCCAAGGGCAAGCTAATTTCTACCTCTTTCATGCCTCGCCCCCTCCCTTTCTCGCCCCACAAATATTACCCGAGCCCTGAACTCCCGCGAGGTTCAGCTTTTTACTTGATCGCAGCAATTGCTTGCCTAAACACTTGCTAATAGGCTTTTGCTTTCATTTCCTTGAAAGCGCCGTTTCTCTCTCCTACGAACCTGATTAAACTGCCAACCTCGCTGGTTGGAAAGGAGAAGGAACCCTGCCTGCAAGTTCCGGGCGGTTAAATCGTCGTTCGTGCGAACGAGCAAATTGATGCCATTACTTCGGCTGAAGCGGCCGCCGAATCGAAAGGCGCACGGGTATTTATGTAGGGGTGGGTGAGATATAGATATATTTAACTCGTTTGTTTCTTGCTTTCTTGGATGAGCCTCCCACCCCCCGCCTCTTTTTCTCTGATGGGCTTTTTTTTTCCTTCGAAGATCTGATGCAGTTGCGTCTGCCGAACGCTTCAGGACTAATTGATCGCCGCTTGCTTGTCCGGGTTGCTTCCTGTGAGCACGCGCGCCTGTTCGCGCTAATGCAGTCCAAGAGCGAGAGCCGCTGCATAGCGCAGCCTAAAGGGCCGCGGTTTCTCGGCTTGCTGCCACGGGGCAGCCGGCCGCTTGAGAGAGAGAGAGCGCACCGGGAGAGTAAAGGAAAGCACGACTTCCCGTGTGAAGCGGAGCAGCGGCGCGGGCGGAATGTTTGCTCGTGGGGAGCAACTGAGGCTGTCGGCCAAAGGCGTCAAGATTGAGACAGAAACAAATTAGGCAGCGAGGTGCGGGCGGCGACAACGAACACATTTCGTTCCTCTCCCGCACCGCCCTCGGTTCCAGGGAGAAGGCGCGGGAGAGATTAATAGGGAAATGGGATTCCCGTTCTCCATTCTTGCCGACGCCTTTTTCTCTGGTTGTTCCCCCCCTCCCCCGGTTTTGACCTGAGCAAAAAGCCACCAAAATGAAAAGTCATTCTCTGCTGCCGCCCCAGATTTTTCCTCAAGAAATACATACATTTCCTACAGCAACATAGGCATTTTTGACAGTCAAAACCACCGAGCGCTGGCCTTGCGCAGCTGCACGTGCGGTCCGGCCCGGTGAGAGGAAAGGATGAGGGGATCCCGTGTGCTAAGTCCTCTCCACGACTTGAGGGAGACCTGCCCAGGGTGTGGCTCCGAGCCCTGGAGCTGAACCGGGGAGGACGACGCGGACGGCGCCTGCGGCAGTGCTCCACGCCCCCAGCGGCGGATAGTCCGTTCTTCAGGAGAGAGGTTGAATTGTTGGCCGTTGATCTCTCCTTCTCACTGGTTTCTCTTGTGACTCCTCCATCTTTTCTTTTTTAATTTCCTTTCCCCTTTCCACAACCTCCACAAGTAAAAGGCGCTTCTTAGGTTGTCGCGAAGAACTTTCAAACCTCGTGCGAAGAAGCCCTGCGCTTCAGTTGGGTGTTTCCAGCCGCGAAACGCGCTGCAGCCTAGTTTTCTGCCTGGTCATTTACAAAGAAATATACCCGCGAAGGCTCTTCAAAATTGGTCCCTTTCAGGCGCGGGCGGACAGCGAAAGAAGAAAACACAGTCACGCATGCAAGAACCGTGCAGCAGAGTGTCTTCCCCGCCCCTCCCCCTCTCTCCGCGTACGGGTCCCATTTACGGATCGTTACCTCCGCTGCCTGTTGTAAAGGCAGCCGCCGCCGCTTCTTCGCACACATGCACAAGACACGCTTCATTCATTCAGACACACACACATAGGGCCGCGCGCGCGCGCGCTCTCGGACCTCCAGCGCTCGCACATGCGTCGTGAGCGCAATTCAACTTTCACACGCTTGTGGTGCGCCCGGCTGGGACCTCGGCTCAATGAGCGCGTGTCTGCGCGCTCAGTTCTACGGGAGGGCTTGGGAAAGCGGGCGGCGGCTGTGCGAACGCTGCGCCGCGAAAGCGCCTCCGCCCTGGAAGGATGCAAGGTTTTAGAGGGCGCGCCGTCGATCCGGCCAGAGCGCTGGGGCTTCTTCGTGCAGAAGACGTCGCCCAGTCCGAGATCCCCGACGCCCGCGTCTTTGCTGCGAATCAATTCACCCTTCTGGGGAGGAAGCGGCTTCTCTCTCTTATCCGCCACTTGCCGGCTGAGCCCCACCAGCTCACAGGGCGGGGTAGGGTGTTGCCGCCCCCGAGCTTCCGCGGTGCGCCTCACAGAGAGAGGACCCAACCCAGCCAACATTAGCATCAGCATCTCTCGCTCCAGCTGCTGCTTCTGCTCCCGCCGCCACCACCACCACCCTGCCTCCCTCCCTCCCCCTCCTTCCCAGGGACCTGCATCCCGCTCGTCCAATCAGGGCCGGCTCTGCCTGCGCCACGTGACCCCGGCGGGCTGAGAGGACCTGCTGCTTTCCCAACGCCAGAGGGATGCAGGCGGCAGAGCAGGAGAGGCGGCAGCGGCGGCGGCTTGGCTGCGAAGCGCCTTGACGCTCTTTTCTCCAGCTCAGCCCAGCCCGACCCCTTATGGCAGCGGCTGCTCCAGCCTCCTGGCTCTCCTCCTCCTCCTCCTCGACCGCCCTTGCTCCTGCCACTCCCCGGGCTGGGCTAGGCCCCTGGATGTCTCTGCCGAAACTCTCAGGATCCTCTTCCTCTTCACCATGCTAGTACTTGGGTGCTTCTTCTTCCTAGCTTGCTGTTGGCTGGGGCCCCCGGGATGCTAAGTCGCCCCCGACGCCTCTTGCTGCCCTCCTGCCCGAGACCGACCTGCTTTGGGGAGCTTCCTTCTCACTACCGCTCTAGAGTTGGCTCCAGAAGTCATGGTGTTGTGGGAATCTTCCGCAGCTCGCCAGTGCAGCAGCTGGACACTTTGCGATTGCTTTTGCTGGTTGCTTCTGCCGGTGACACTGCTCATCATCGCCCGGCCGGACAAACTTGCAGCCTTCCCTACCTCCTTAAGTGACTGCCAAACGCCGACCGGCTGGAATTGCTCCGGTAAGCTTGGGCGGGAACGTGGGGCAGAAATGGAGGCTCTCCCTTTGCAAGCACAGGCATCTTTTTTTTTTTCCCCCTCCGGACGGGTGAAAGAGGAAGAGGGCTTGAGGGGTGGGATTGATGCGCTTCTGAAAAGCGGCCCACCGCGGGGCTGTTTGGACATGTCCGGGGAACCCGGGAGACAGACTAAAGAGCCTTTTTTTTTTTTTTACTATTTCCATCCCGCTTTGAATTGCCTCCGTTCGAGACTGACTTTGGATGGTGAAGCTCGCTAGGCTTGTGCTGTCTGAATGCAAACGCAAAGGGTGGATCTTGTAAAATGATTCTTAGGACGCTTGCCCGTTATTCAAAGTTAGAGCAAGCAAGCGATAAAACGCAGCACTTAAAAGGGATGCTCTTTTGCAGGAAAGTCTGGACTGCTTACCAGGAACCAGCAAGTCCAGAAAGCTCATGTCCACCTGCCTTGTTGCTTTGGGCATATTCCGGGGATTTTTAGGTCTTTGGGGTGACCGTGAGTTCTTTCCTTCACACCCTCTTTCTCTCTTAACTTTAAAATCTGGGGTGTATTCTGGTGTTAAACTGGAGGAAAGACTTTATTCCCAAGAAGAAAAGCAAAGTATTAAAAATCAGGTCCAAAGCTGGCTAGTGATTCTGAAAGCTGCTATTAACCAGGCTTCCTTTGCCTGATTTCTCTGGTCAGTTTCATTCCTGCTCAGAGTGGTTTTCCAGGCACCCTCCAACTGCTCTAATTGAATAAGGAAGCGGCAGCACCAGTGAGTTATTACCTCTCCTATGAGTTGTCTTTTCCGATGATCAGGCTCATCCTCAAAAGGTTAATTGTTCCTCTGTCTGGAATGTGCTTACCAGCTGTGCTATCATGCTTCCCACATGAGCTTGACTTCCAAATGTTGACTTCCAGTGAAAATCTCTATATTTCTTATGCAAGGACCCATTTATAACTGCATTTATACATGCAGTGAGAAAAACGGCAAGCCACTAGAAAAATGCAGCTTTTCTTTTCCCCCATAAAAAGTGTGAAACTCTGAATCTGAAGCAAAAACAGATCTTTTCTCTCTGTGTACAGAAGGTGGGGACAATACTTGCTGGATACATCTTTTGGTCAGCACTGCAGTTTCCTCATTTCTATTGGCTTCATTTGATTGAGTCAAAGAAACCCAAAGCTTCATATTTCAGTCACCTTTACAGCATCTATAGGATTTAGCCTGGTATTGTTCTGTAATGTTAAAAGTATTCCCCAAACTACTTGAGATACATTACAGGAACCACATAGTTTGTTGAAGTCTGTGCCTCCACCATGCAAGTTCTTCAGAGCAATGTTGCCTTTGCCCCAGAGGTAATGTTTTCATTTTTAAAACACAGCCAAGCTCTGGATCCTTAGACCATAAGGATCATATAGACGCTAGTTTGGGAGCCTGAAAAATGGCTGTTTTGCTTAATCCCTTGCTACACACCCTCAGAATAGGATGGTAACTAGCTGAGGTCTGACAACTGACTAGGCATTTGTGAGTTGACTCTCTAGCCAGATCTGTTAACCTGCCTATCAGAACCGGAGGAAAGGCTCTTTCGGCAGCTCTTTGCAAAACCTGCCCCCTCCCTCCTATTAACCTGGAGGTGATCAGTCTTCATTGGAACCAGGCAGCCTATCACAAAAACCATGCAGCTGGTTTATTACCAGATGAGCGTTGAAGAAATTCCCATTTTAGACTTGGGGACAGAAAAGCTGTTAGGAGGGGCAGGAAATGGGTTGCTTTACAAGCAAATGTTTGATTTTTGAGAAACTAGAATCTCCTCATAGAGAAAAAGGTGAGGTGGCAGCAGCAAGGAGAGTATGCCGGAATAGCAAACTCCTTTGGGGAAAGGGTGCTAGCCAAACTGGGTATGAGAAAATAGCACATGCTTCTTCCAATTGCCCTGTTCCCGTCCCTTTGCCAGACTGAAGCTGACAGCATTTTTCTCTTCTGTTTGAGGTTATGATGACAGAGAAAATGATCTCTTTCTCTGTGACACCAATACTTGCACATTTGATGGGGAGTGCTTAAGGATTGGCGATACCGTGACTTGCGTCTGTCAATTCAAGGTAAGAAGATTGATCTCTCATTCGGTAATTCACTAATGAGAATACAAATCAGGGATCTTGCTTTACAAGCCATCACTTGACCGTTTATATCTCTGCATGGAAAGAAGTCAGGGAGAAAGACTGGCTCCAAGTTTAAAGAGCTGGCAGGATACCCAACTGGTGTCAAGAAGATAAGAGTCTCTGGGAAAAGGAAGATGTTGTTCTTCCAATGCTTCCTTAGAGTTAGATGCTTGTGCTGGATGTAAGCTTGAATTGGGGTGGCCTTTATAAAATCAGTTGTTCTGCTCGGTCTCCTAATCAGACAGATCTTCAGTTAAAGATTCAGCAGGCCATATGCTGATGTGATGGGTAAAGAAGGCCTGAATAAGTATGAGTTCAAATATGGGTATCATCGAGATTGGAAAGAAGGTTGTTCTATTCCTCCAAGAGGGAAGTGTTTTTGGATTGGCTGGGGTCAGTTCTCAATTCCAAATCCAAGAAAGTATAAATATCACTTGAATCGATTTCTACTGATTTTAAGGGTGGAGTCCACATCATCTGAAACAAAACTTCCTATGTGTTAATAAACCTGAAGATGTCTGTCTGGAACAGTGAAGACAAAGCTATTCTTAGTTAAGCGAAATGTAGGAACTGCTCCTGTGTTAAACTGGCATTTAGAAGCAAACTTTACCTGGAAATGAAGTCCCATTGATTTCAGCGAGCTGCCTTTCTTTCATAGAATTCTGCTTAAAATGGCTTATTAACAGTCAGTTTCTTTGCCCTAAATGCATGACAGAAATCAGCACGCTTTCCCTCAGAAGGGTGGCTTAAATTCAGATTTTAATGGAACATAAAGAAGGATAAATAATACTATATTTCTGCAGAGATAAATTATTATTATGTTTTCTTCTGCAAACGTCGGAAGTTCATATTTCAAAAGTAAACTCCCCCGACAAAATTTCATTCAAATTGAATGTCATTCCTAGACTAGAGTTCAATACATGAATTTATACCACATTGAACATTTTATTTTCTTTGATTGCTTAAAAGTCTATATTTTAATTTTATAAACCTTGTAAATTAGAATAGACTTTTATCATGGAAAAATCATTCACTTTTAATTTATTTCATTTTATGGTTTGTACTGTGCTGACCATATTTATAATATTTATGGTTTCCTTAGAGCTTAACAGCCATTTTCAGACCTTTAATACCATATAATATATTTAGTTATTCTAAGTCAATTAATATACTGGAAAAGTATAATCTTTATGACATTTGTCAATACCTTGTTTACTCTTTTATATCCTACCTTTTTAGCCCTGTTTTTGTACTTTCTCTTTCTCAGTGAATATATTTTCTCTAAAATGTTGAATGAAATAGATGTTTACAAGTGGACAAAAAGAGAATAGAATCATTGTGTAGTATTTTCAAATTGCTTCCCTTTGCATATTTCATTGTGTACCAAAACATATGAAGCATGCTTTAGAAGTAAGACATCCTAGTAAAGGGATAGAGAATGGAGATTGTCCTTTTATAGCTTTACTTCCTCTGGGATTCCATGAAAATAATAACAGTTGCAAACATCACTAGTTTAGCATGTAACAGTGAAGTAGTAGCAGCCACATGTGATAAGCCTTTAATTGAATAAGAATTCTCTAAGCATGCCCAGGATTTCATAGCCAGTGCCTAATCAATCTTTAAATTAGGTATTAGGATTACATAATGCTTGCTAAAGCCATGCTGTGCACGTTGCATTTATATTTATGTTATCACTAAGCCTATAAATAACCATCACATTCAAATGTCATATTTCCAGACCCAAACTCTTGCCAAAAGAGGAGCAGGATGATCAAAAGGTATTCTCTGTAAGTCTCAAACGAATCTCTTCCTTGAGTTCCTTGGAAGTTTCTTCTTCCAAGGCATTGATTTAACGCTTTGTCCTTGTCCTTGCCTGGGAGTGGCAGCAAATTCAGCACCAACAGCAGCAAACTCAAAGCAAGCTCAGAGCACACTGACTTCCTCCTGTCTGGCTCCAGTTGGACTTCACAATTGGTTTAAATTTAGGGAACACAGTGGACTGAAACAGGGGCTTTCATAATAGCAGAGGCAACAGAAGCTATTACCCAAAGAACAAAAACGGCTGCTGGGAGTATATGGAGTCTATTGAATCTTTCGTTCTCGCGCTAAAACAACTCAATCCAAATTCTACCAACTCAAAAGAACAAACCCTGCTAAGTAATAAATCGTAAATGATTATAAATTCAATCAATACAATACTACCTGGGTTCAGTTAATGCAGGACCTCTGCAATAACCGAATGTAGGGCTATTTTCTAACCCCAGAATCCCTAGAAATTCAAGCCCTCTTAAAAGCTGTGCACCATTTAGCTTGGAAACCATTTCTCCTAACCCAGAAATGCACTAGCTATCATGACCCCCCACTGGGGTAAAAACATGTTCTAGGTAGGGTTGCCAAAAAACTTGTTATTGTGCTTTTACTTTCTGTAGTAATCCGACCATGCTTTTCTGGAGAAGAACAGGTCTGTTTGCCCATTGCTGCAGATCAGACAACACCTGGGACCACTTTAAAAATTGATCATCTAGTTCCTGGATTCACCCCCAACACAAAACCAAAGTTTAGAGCTGTACCCTAAGGAGTCCTGTTGTGCTTGTTTTTTTCTTTTTCTCAGCACATCGTACTAAGAAGCAAAGCATGATGAACATTTTGCTTGTACAAAGAGATTAATTGTCCTATCAAAACTTTGTTGTGCATAGATGGTAGAAACCAGGACATCCATGGACAAAATGAAGGCATCCCACCCTGCAGTATGATCTCAATCTAATATTGGGGAGGGAACAGTGGAAGTAAAAAGTCAAAGTAGATAAGGAATAAATGTTCTCTTTTCCTGGTAACACTATTTTTGGGAAGTTGAGAGGTAGGCTTTGCCACTTCTTCAACTGCATCTTGGTCTTCAGCCTGTTTATTCTGTCACCTGGAACCTTATTTTCTTTGGGTGGTACTGGAGATTGTTTGAACCCTGTGAAGTGTGTGTGTGTGTGTGTGTGTGTGTGGATAGATAAAGGTATAGAATAGATAGACTGCATATAAATCCTTTATATTCTTTCACACACATACATTATGAAAGAAACTCCCTCTGCCATTTGACTGCTATGCCGATAAGCCCCAAGTCTGAATGGCAAGTTAATGCTGGTAAATAGGAAAGAAATGGTATTGCTGGGATCTGACTTCTGGATAATATTTGGCTGAAGTCTGTCTTTACAGTACTTCTGCAATGCTTGCTTATTTGGAATCTACTCTTAAGAATGATAAGTCAGTCTCCTGATTTAAGGTAACCATTCAGCTAGAATCTTGAAAGTCTGTGCCAAACATTTCTTCCTAAAATCAGTGCAAAGGCCATGGCACCACCCTGCCTCTCGTTTTGGTTTCATTGTTTTGTCCCCATCCAAGGAAATAAAATTTTCAAAATGCCTTAGCCTGAGCAAATGGCAGGTAGCCTTTTTGAAGAAAAGTGGCAGACGTAACTATAAATGGGCAATCAACCTCTTGGATCTATGTCGTCTTATTCATGGATTCAGTCTTAAAGGATTTTCAGCTCAGTTTCTCCATCAACCTGATAATACCTTTTATGTATATGAATTATGCGATTATTTATTCAATTTATATATTGTCAGAGTTGGTTCAATCAGATTTTATATTAGACATACACTGTGTGTTTGTAGACAGACACACCAGGATATCTGGCAAAAATGCATGTTTTTTGCAATATTTATTTTTATTTATTTATTAAATTTGCTTGATGCCCATCTCTTCGCAAGGCGACTCTGGGCAGCTTTCAACATTCATCTATCTATATCTGCCTGCCTGCCTGTATCTATTTGTCTGTCCATCCATCCATCCATCCATCCATCTATTATCTATTTGGATGATGCAGTGGCTCAGTGGTTAAGATGCTGGGCTTGTCAGGTGGAAAGTCAGCAGCCCAGGTTCAATACCTGAGTGCCATGTGAGAAGGTCGAGCTCTTGTTCTCACCCCAGCTCCTGCCAACCTAGCAGTTTGAAAGCATGGAAATGCAAATAGATAAATAGGTACCACTTCAGTGGGAAGGTAACAGTAATGTCATGCTGGCCACGTGACCATGAAAATAGCTTTGGACAGTGTTGGCTCAATTGCCTTGAAACAGAGATGAGCACTGCCCCCTATAATTGGCAAGGATTAGTGGAATAACATCTATACTATCTCTCTCCCTCCCTCCCTCCTTGCATACGTGTGTGTGTGTGTGTGTGTGTGTATTTGTTTTCTTAAGTTTTCGCGGGTATTTATATGTATGGTATTCAGCTTTGTTTGGGTATTTTCCCACATCATTATAGTTGTGCATTTAAAGTTGTATAACTATAATGACGTGGGAAAATACCCGAACAAAGCTGAATACCATACATACATACATACATACACACATACACACATACATACATACATACATATCACATTGAAATTGCAGTAAAATACAAGTTTAAGAAAGGGAGTAGAATATACTGCTATTAGTTGATCAACCAACTACAGTGTGATGGTCCCCCTTTGGGGCCCCAAGCCAACTGGAAAAGTCATGTTTTCAGGTTCTTGCAGAAAATTAGCAAGAGTGGCAGCATCTCACCTCAGGAGGAAGATGTTTCAAAGGGTAGGTGCTACACAAGTGAAGGCTTTTCTCCTGGATCCCGCCAACTGGAATATACACTTTTTGAATGCAATTTTTCCCTAACAGAATTTTTTAATTCAGTTTTCTTCTAACATTAGCTTCTGTGTCCCCATTGAGCTTCAAGTGGTATGATCTGAAATATAATTATTTTTCCCCCGCATATTTGTCTTGAAGTTTGAATTAACTTTGTTTAAAAATGAATGCTAATTTTTTTTGCTGCTAATATTATGCTCATATGAGATTATGCTATGTCCTAATAAACTTATATCCATGCTAATAAGCTTATTAGGACAACTAGCTTAT